GGTTCCATCAGAAACCCCTTTTTGTGACTGGCACCTGCTCCTTGGCCATTTCCCTGGATGGTATCCCCAAACCCTATACCTACACTGCTCCTAAGGCAGTTGTCATCTCCCAGAGTGACCAGTGCTACCTAAGAGACTTGATCTTGAGTAAGTGGAGTGCACCTGGGCCTGGGCCCCCATCTCTGCTCTGCCTTCTTCTCTGCCCCACACTGACAGCCTCAGTGTCAGAGGCTATACCTCCTATGATGTGGAAGAACACCCATGACATCAGAATTCCTGCACAAGCCAAAAGAAGTGCAGGTGAAGCACGAAGCATGGGGATTCATAGAAAATACAGAATTTTATCAGGCCCAGGGTCACCACACATACTTACTGACCTCAGGCCAGAGCCTTGTCTTATGTAACCTTCAGTCTCCCCTGTGACACTGGAGAGGTTGGTTCCCCCTCCCCCCGAGACCTCAGACCCCTGGCAGCCCCCATTTGCCCAAGGTACAGACCCATGTTTCTTTCCAGCCATACTGCCCGCTTGGGGAGGAAGCAACCCCGACGCCCACACTTCTTGCTGGAGCCCATGCAGAGCCAAAGGTCTTGGGGGTGTGTCCCCCTCAGCGGGCAAGGGTACGTTATGTGGTTGTGGGCCACTCAAAGCAGCTACACCTTCATCTGGGGCCTGTGTTTTGGAGGTCCTATGTTAGGTAGCCCCCTCTCCTTCCTGATCTTCAGAGAAACCAAGAAAGATTCCATGGCCTTATCAGCTTCCTGTCTTCTCTCTGCTTAGGCCTGAGAAGCCTCAGGAACAGGGCCAAGATGGGGCCCAGCCTGCACACCTTTCCCTGACGAGGCCTTTCCTTCCTGGGGTCCTGCCTTGTGCCCCTTGCTCAAAGCTTCCCACTGTGGCAGGTCCCAGCCCAGAACAACTACTGCCTCTGCCTCCTTCCCCCTTCATGCCCTATCGGGTGGAAGCATTGACCAGGGTGAGTCCACCACCAGACCATCCTCCCATTCTTTGGTCTAGTCTTTGGTTCTCTTCCTGGTGCCCCTGTGCTATAGCTACAGCTGTATTCGTTGTTTTTGGAACACGCTGGTATGGAAGGACATGGGGAGGTTCCATTTATTTACCAAATGTTGGTACCTCTGTACTTCAGATCTAAGGAATACAGCAGCCAATAGCCTGCCAAGGTCCCTATCCTTCAAAAGCTTCTGTTCTCACAACAGGACAACCAAAAGAATCTTGTGTGCAGACCCATAGAGTGACCACAGATCCTATGGGTCAGGCTGGTCATACTGGAAAGTTTGGAATTTGGGAAGAGGAAGAAGTTTTTTTAACCTGGGTTCCTTTTGGTGCTATGTATTTGGGCTACTGGGAGCTATGTGATCCAGGTTGCAATGGCCTGGATGCTGAGGCCAAACACTGCGGGGATGAAAATGTGGGTCTAGACAGGACCTGCTTTGGTGGATGTGAGAAGGGAGGGGAGGAAGGACTTCACATGATATAGGTTTCTGGCCTAAGTAACTAGAGGAGGGATGAGTTCTAAAAGAAGAAAAATAGGATGGGGCTTGGTTTCAGGTGAAGCACCAAAAGTCTCTTTTTACCCTGTCAAATTTGAGAGAAAGCAAGATTGTCTGGCCTTCGGGAAAGAGGTCAGGGACTGAAATCTAGATTGGAAGTCCTCAGCAGAGGTTGAAGGTGAACCCCTGGGAACCACTGAGTGAGCATAGAGTGGGGCAGAAGGCTTACGTAGAGAACCTTGACACAAGTAGTAAGGGCTGAGAGCACCAGAGGGCATAGAAGTGACAGTCTCAGGGTCAGGCCACCCAAAAGCTGGTACCCAAAAGGCGCAGGGTGGGGATAGAGCCACTTCTTGTGTGTCACAACCCTGTGGTGTGTCACAACCCCGTGGCTGGGGGTGGGGGCGGTCCAGAGGGTGGTCTTCCATGACTGGCAATGATAGAAGGTGCACATCTACTCTTCTACTCTTCATGGGAGAGAGTAGAGGCAGGTGTGGGTGAAACAGGGAGAATAATTGCCTGTGACCACTGTTACTGAAATCCAAGTTTAGCAAGGTCAGAAGTCCAGAGCAAGGTGGGGATAGAACGCCAAGCCAGGCTTGAAAAGTCTGCTGCTGATAGTGCTAAGAAGCTTCTCATGCAGGGGGTGACACTGTAAAGGTGTGGAGATTGACCCATTATGTCAGGTCCAGCAGGCAGGGAAAGGGACAGGGCCTAGTCACCCTGACTCCTGTGGGGTAGAGTGGGCAGCAGGTAGTGAGACAGGGAGAAGAGGATTTACTGTCAGCATCCTCCTTTCCTTTACAGGTGTTAAAACAGCCTACCAACACTGGGCTTAAGCCCCAGGGTACCCCATCTCTGGCCAGTGGCCCTGATTCCCATCTGCTCCTGCCTGGGGACTTCACAGGCATCAAGGCTGGGCCTGGGCTTAGTTCTGGAAGTGCAGGTGAGTACCAGGGGCCTGCCAGGGCTGTGGGCACTCACCTTGGAGTGGCCACCCGTCCTGGTCCCAGAGAGAAGATGGAAAGCTCATTCTGTTGTCACAGGCCACAACAACCTTGAGACTGAACTGGAGGGGATCCAGCAGCAATTACAGCACTACCAGAACACCAAACAGAACCTGTGGTGAGGCCTGGGGGATGCACCCTTGGACTTGTCCTTAAGAAAAGGTGTGCCCTGGGAAGGCAGAAGGTTCCATTTCCTGCCAGCCAGCTGCCAGGACCCACAAGTGTGTGGTAGGGGCCAAACCAGTGTGTGTTACCAGGAACGTGTCTCACTGTAGCACATTTCCCCCAATTAGTCCTGCTTGGGAAAACCCAAGATGGCCTTACTGTGGGACACAGGTCCTGGTTGGGTTCTGGCTTTCTTCTCTAGTGGTTGTGATTGTAAAGCTGATAAGGTATCAGAGGACGGATAGGCCTGGGTCTCATCTGCACATAGTGGTTTGGGGACTGTCAATATGCAGCAGTTTAAGAAATGTGAGGAAAACAGACTGGTCCCCTTGTTCATCTCATCACTGGGAAAGAGGAATAGGAAGAGTTGCTGTTTGCTATAGAAGGTCATGGAAGGCTGGGAGAGAAAAAAAATGTTGGCCTCCCAAGCCAGGGCCTGCAGCTCAGAGAAGGGAGCCTTTCCAGAAGTTTCTCCCTCCAACCCATCCTCACATCAGAAGACTGCCGAGAACCCAAACTCAAGCCAAGAGTGGTGGTGCACTCTTGTAATCCCAGCTATTTGGGAGGCTGAGGCAGGAGGGTTACAAGTTTGAGGCCAGCGTTGGTGTCACACCAATAGTGAGACCCCGTCTCCAAAAAAAAAAAAAAAAAGGTAGCTCAGTTGGTAGAGTACCCCTGGGTTCAATCTCCAGAACCCAAGAGAAAAAAGATCCAAGCAGGCAGGGTGTCCCCATCAGGTCCTGCCAGCGACAAGCAAGTAGCCTGCGTAGGTGGCTGGAGCTGAGCCAGGAAGAGCCCAGGCCTGAGGACCAGGATGAAGAGCAACGAGTGCAGAAAGAACTAGAAGAGGTGAGACCCTAGACCAGCTCCAGGGACAGTCCCCCAGACTGTGCTCCCTCTCAGCTGGGCCTCTTTCTCCCTACCCCCAGATAGAACTACAGATCCAGCAGCTGGCCAAGGAGCTCCAGGCCCAGCGCCAACACATCAGTACCTGCGTTGAGCGCATCCAGGCCCTGCGGCAGGCTCTGTGCTAGTGGGCTCACCCCAGGAAGACAGGAGCCCTGCTGCAGGGGAGGCCTCAAGCCACCTCCAGGAACAATGCAAAGCTACAATGAGTTTTAAGCTTTTTATTTCAAAATGTCTTGCAATTAAATGAATTACTGTTCAGAAGTCTCCCACTTTTCATACAAAAATACTGTGCTACTGATACAGTTGAAAAAATTCAATGACTTCCCCTGGAGGAGAAATTCACAGGATCAACAGGTAACCTGACTGTCCCCACCACTGCTCAAGGCCTACATACCTGTCACCTGGGACAGGTTTTCTAGTACTGACCCACCATACACCTTTAGCCTCCAACACAGTCCTTGGAACAACAGCAATTTCCCATACTTCATGTAGAGCTGGATCTGGAAACAGCGATGCCAGCTCAAACTAGGCTTCTACCCCTCCTGCCTGCCCCATTCAGCCTAGCCACCAGGTGGGACAGTAATTGGCCTTGCCTGCTGCAAGGAAGCTCTGGAAGGTCACTCCTCAGGGCCTAGAAAGGTTCGTGTCATAGTTACCATCCTCAGAAGATCCCGGCAAGAGTCCAGAACAATGCAGTCAAGCCCCAAATGCAAAGAAAGATTTTGCTTTTCCATCAAGCAGGGTGAGGCAAGTTTGGGAACAGAAAATAGTTGTCATGAAGTCTGTGTGGCCTGCTCTGGGAGAGAGGGTCCACAATCCATGCCAAAGAGGCAGTTCATCCTGTGCACTATGGGAGGTAAAGGGACAAGACCAGAAAAAGCCAAAGGGTCCAACAAAACTCTCCAGTTATGGGGAGGAATGGCTAGAGGGCATGTTCGCACTTAGCATCGCCTAACAATATCCAAGACCAACCAGGAGAGAAGAGTCTCCAGTTTATACAACATTTAAAAAAGATCCAAATGTGATTGTGAGGTTATCCACACCTATACTTTTTCTCTCTGTAGGGTAGGTCACAGGCATGACGGGTTTTGGCTGCCTCGTGAGGATTCAGAATCTCTTGTCTGCACCTCTGGGACAGGCAGTAGCAAATCATTCAGGTTCTACTGGATCGACCTTCCCACACACACCTGAGGTGATTCCCTTGCCTAGACACCCCTGGAGGCTTCTATAAAAGACCCTTAGTTCCCTTAGATGCATTGGCAGTCGTAGGCAGAAGGAAGACCTAGAGGGAGCCCAAAGCCTCCCCAAAGCGGATCTTCTGCCCTGCTTTCAGCCTGAAATTGAAGTCCTTGGGGGCCTCGAAGATGAGCACAATGGTGGAGCCCAAGTTGAATTCGCCCAGATGCTCACCCTTGCGCATGGGGACTCCCTCCTTGTTGGTATGCGTCACAAAGCTGAAGTCGTTGTAGGACCCCTTGCTGTACCTTGGGCTGTTTGTGTGCAGGTCCTGGGGAGGAGTAATGGGGCAGGGATTGAAGGGGGCCTAGAATCAAGGGGTACCACTCCTGCCTGTGTTTGGAATCCTGTTGCTCATTTTCACCACCATCCAGCCCAGCTCAAGAAGGGTGATGGGGACAATATCTCGGGGTTGGGGAGCTTAGTCCAACCAGATCACACCAAAGTCCTTGCACCTGCTATGAACTGTGGCTAAGAGGGACATGGAGAAATCAGATCTGACTTTTCTCCCAGCTGGAATGGTACAAGGTCAGCAGCCAGTGGTGGGGAGTCGGGCACACCCAAAAAGGCAAGCCCTGGGCAGGTGGGCACCAGATTCTTTCTTCATTCAGGCCAGCTCTGCCTACATGCTCAACCCTCAGTTGGCATGACTCATTCCTGTTCCTTCCTCACACTTCAACCATGGTTCCCAGTAAAAGTAAAGGGCCAGGCAGAAAGGTTAATTTCCTCTCTCCTCCCCAGCCACTTCCAGAGGAATGAGTGGCAGCAAAGTGGGTGGGAGGGAAGGAGAGAAGGAGGTCTTAACTGATAGGGATGCCCCTCAGAGTGGATGCTCAGCATAGCCAGGCCTGGTTCTAGCTCTCCTACAAGCAAGGCCCTCCTAAAATTTACAGGCCCAGTGGATCTGGCTGGACAGCAGATGGAGCAAGTGAATTCAAGAAGTCCAGCCTGTGGACTTTGGCATGGCCTAGACTCTGCTTACCCTGTCAAAGTAGATGCGAATGGAGCCCACGTTGGTGGCCCCCACAGCTGTCAGCGAGAAGAAGCCATGTTTCCAGTCTCCTGTCAAAACTACCCGTTCGTTATGGCAGAAGAGCTCTTTGATCCAGCGAGCCATGCCAGGGTTCACTGACATCAGGGAGCCTGTGGGGGTAGGGAACATGATAGTCCTTCCCCAGAGCCTGGTATATCAGGATAGCCTGAGACCCAAAGGGACTAATAGCCTGTTGCCCTGATGTCATTCCAAATGCAGACCAGTTTTCCAAAGTCCCCTGCCCATACCCAGCCAACCTTAAGTGTTTAACCCCTGGTCTAGATAACCCCAGCCTGGAGCCTAGTCCCCTAACATTAAGAAAGTGAGGACCTCAGCATGAAGCCCACAGAGGCAGCTCCAACCCAAAGGCCAGTCCTGTGTCTACCTGGGAAGTGGCGCCGATGGGAGACAGTCCAGTCAGTGGGTGAGTGGAAGCAGTGGTAGTCCCCAGGGGCCAGGTATATGACACAGTGGTAGAGTTCATTCCCTTCCCGGGTAACCAGCTGGTTCCTGAAGGAGTCACATGAAGAGGCTGTGGGGGTAGGGCAGAAAAGAGGGTCAGGCTCTAATACCAGCTCCAGGTGCCACCCAGCTCATGAGAATCCAGCACAGCCTATGTGCAGCCTGGACATGGACTCCAAGAGCCTCAATGCTTTGGTCAGAGGGATTCCTGATCCAATGTGCCAGCATGCCCACCCCACAGTCTCCCAAGCCTTTCCTTATTCCCTGTCCCACAGCCTTTCCTTAGCCTCTGGTGTCTGCCCCAGCCCCAACAGTGCAGTAACCCACCTGGTGGGAAAGGCAGGTCTTCCATGTAGGTGCGAGGGCCCAGGAATGACTCCAAGGAATAAGTGACCCCCTTCACCTGCTCCACCTCACAGTTCTTCACCTGCCCGAAGTTGAGGATCTTCCCATCCGATGGGCTGATCTGGAGGGACCAGGAGAGGTTTGCTGCTGGAAAGGGAGAGTGCTCCCCCTAGTTGACACCCACCTCATCTTGTGTCAAACACCCATAGCTCCACCCTCTGGATATGCAGGACAAATAAACTTTATACGGCAGGTGGGACCGAGTCTGGGAAAGCCACACAGAGGCCACAGCCAGTGGGGGCTGCTGAACCTGGTTTCCATAGATATAGATCCCATTTCCTAAAGGAGGAAGAGGAGGTATGAGTTAAACCTCACCACACTGTGCAGCCCAGAGACAGGCCGGGCCTGTGGCTTCAGCTTGCGCCGGAAGAATTCGCTGAGGTTGCGGTAGTGGTGCAAGTCCTCCACAGCGGCCTCCTTCATGTTCACCCCGAAGGTCCAGATGTACAGGCTATAGACAGGCCTGCGCAGCCAGTGCGGCAGCTCCACCTGGTTGAGGCGACCCCAGGCCCGTGACAGCAAACGTGTTGGCACTGACTTGTACAGGGCCACCTGCAGGCCACAGGGCAGGGGGCTGAGTTGACCATACTCCAAAAAGCCCAAGTACTGTCATCAGCCCCCAACCACAGGAGAGAACTTGAACCAACAGAGGCTACCTAGGGAGGCCTAGTTGCCTGGGGCTGATTGTTATGATGTGGCTGTGTCACTAGGAACCAGACTGCACTTGTCAAATATTCTCACAGACTGAAGACAGGATGTACAGAGCTCAGGTCACTTTAATCACTTTGCACAGGTCAAAGAGTAACTGTCTTAGACCCAGAAAAGTAGACTGGTCCACATAGTCTCACTTCTTAAAAGTGAGAGGTGGTGCCAGGAGTGGATGGCTCATGCCTATAATCCCAGTAACTCTGGATGCTGAGGCAGGAGGGTCCTAAGTTTGAGGCCAGCTTCAGCAACTTAAGAGAGGCCCTAAACAACTTCGATCCAATCTCAAAATAAAAAGGGCTGGTAGGGACGTGGCTCAGCAGTTAAGCACCCTTAGGTTCAATCTCCAGTACCCCACCCCCCAAAAACAGGAAAAGAAGAAAAAATGGGAGATAGGAATCCTGGTAATAGTCTGGAGAAGACTGGCAGGAGGCAATAGGCATTTGACTTTGGCTGGGGTCATTGCCTACACTACAGACCACTTGAGAAAGGAGTAAAAGGTTCCCAGAAGCACAGACAGATTTATAGCCCAAAGTATATATCCTCTTTCTTAAAAGGAAAAGAGGACATTTTCAGATGCATGTACTGTATCAATGTCATAGTGTCCTGAGATGCCCTGCAGGCCTAGCCAGCACTCAAGATGGCCTGTCCTGCTGGGCTCCACTGGGCCTGACAGCAGACCTTACATCAGAAGCATTCTGTGCCTAAGCCAGTCCACAGAGCTGCCTACCTGTGGTCTCTAATGAGGCAGAGGAGAATCACTTTTTGGAGCCAGTCCCACACACTGGGGCCCCAGAGCCCTCCTGCAGGGCCACTAAACCTAAGGGGCCACTGCCCCAGGGGAAACTGTTTCTGACTGGTGCTACTGCTTATCTGGATGCAACCAGGCAGCAACTTCCTAAGGTGTAAAAACTTTTAATACCTTTATGAAGTAGTGAATTAGTAGCTCCCTGAGCATTATTCTTTCCCCTTCCAAGTGATGCCTAGCCACCTGGAGTGGCTAGGTTGTAATGGTTGTAATGCCTGGCCCTGGGTTGCTGTAATGCCAGGCTATTCTCAGGAACAGGTTGGAGTCTGGTCTAATGTCCAGTGTACTGCACCACCCTCAAATTTTCATGATGCCCACCCCCAAGTTATCAATGGCCCAGGAACAGGGACTCCTCCTTGGGGCTGGTCTGCCAGGAAGCAAGAGAGCCCTCCAGGTACCCATTAAAGAGTCCTGTGCAGGGCAGGCACTTGCACAGCCTTCTAGTTTCTCAAGTGTGTCCTCCCACTAATGGGCCCAAACAGGCTCCAGCCTTCCTGAACTACCCTCTGATATCCAGAAATTTATCTGGATTCTTCTTAAAAACTGCTTATAAGCTTGAAAGTCAGAGACGCTAATTTCTGACTGCCCAGTCTAAGTTCCTTCCAGAACCAGAGCTCCCCAATAGCACCAGTGAGGCAAGCAAGGATAGCAGGCAGTGGACAGTGAGTGTTCAGTCACTTTACTACAGTACACATGGCCACTGGTTAACCTGGCCTTCTCAAAAGTTGCCTTTGTCTTCCCTACGAAATTTCCCATACTATACCCCGAAAGGGTGCAGCCATGCCTCTACTTCTGACAACTGGTCCCCTTGTTTTCCCCTGTACCCCAACCTCAGGCCTGCCCAGGGGTAGGGGTTGGGCCACAGAGGCCTGTGCACACTTACCCTGCTCACAGGCTTCCATCCCACCCGGCTGAGTGGCCTGAGAGCACCAAAGGGCAGGAGGTAGTAGAGAACAGTCAAGGGCCAGGAGCGCAGTTTCAGGGCAGGTCTGGACATGCAGCTCAGCTGGCCTAGCCTCCTTCGCAGGGCCAGCTGGGGGAAGTGCAACCTGCAGGGCACATGTCCATGCAGAGTCAGAAGCTGGGGTCTCAGAGGGACCCAGGAATGACCCCCTCCCTTGATCACTGCCTCTCCATGGAGCACCAGAGTCCAATAAGCACTGCAGCATCCCCTTGGGGACCTGGATACCACTATATAATAGAATATTTCCCAGTCTTTCCCACCTGACAGCTAGCTGAGGACTAGGATTGGGAAGCTATAGGATGCAGGAGGGTTAGACCCAATTCCTGGGTATCTGAGAAGATTGAGTATCTGAAATTGGAAATGGCTCCAGAAAGAACCTTTGGGGCCAAAATGGGGAAGGGAGGTACAAGGCCTGCCTCATATTTGCCAGCTTCCCATGGCCAATAAGCATGGGACTCAGGCACAGCTCTGCCCACACAAGGGCCAGAAGGACACAGTTAATCAGCATAGCAGTGCATAGTGCTTTGACCTGGTCAGCTAGGTGACTGTTCATGAGTCTTTTGCTCATTACAGGACCTGGGAAAAATCTCTTCATGGCTCCAGGCCTCTTGTTTCCTTATCTGGTAAATTAAAAGGACTGGGCCAGCCAAGATCTAAAGTTGTGGCTCCATCAGCCTGCATAGTCTTTCTCCAGCAGGTTAGGTTCTCCAAAACCCATATACAGCTTTATAGGGAGAACCTCACCCCAAGCTCTCAAGCCACCTTCCTACTAGAGCCACACACAAGATACAGGTTCCTCCTTTCAGCAAATCTGAGCTGGTACATACACACTCCCCAGTGTACCACCAGCACAAATTTGGCACAGGCTCAGCTTTGCAGGAGTTGCAGTGGCTGGAATGGGCTCTTCCACCAGAACCCTGATCTCCTTAGTTGCAACAAAGTCCCTTTGTCACATACCTAGGCCCCGGAAAATACTTCTGAGGCTGCAGTGTAGCTATCAGGAGACCACACTGCTACCCACTCAAAATAATCCCAGGCCTTGGTTTCCTCATCTGCAAAAGGACTGCATTCAATAGACAATCTAAGGTTGCCATCTCTGACTGTGTACTCTCCAAGAGAAGCTGCATTCTCTGTCACCCAGGTGCTAAGCAAACCAAGAACAAAGAGGTGTCTCAGCTGAGAGTAAGAGCAGGACAAATGGAGACCTAAGCCAAGGGGAAGGCCCCTTAGTTCAATCAGAGATGATAGAAGGCAGGGCTCCAGTCTCTGCAGGCAACTGTGTCCCCACAGCTCACCTGATGTCCTGCTTTCTTTTTCTCTCCCATTCCACTGTGGACAGTTTTTTCCATTATGCTTTTTAAAAGTCTAGGGAGGTGGAAGGGGCCAAGCAAAGACAAACAAATCACTGCTCTCCCACAGGGTTCCCCCGCCCTGCTCACTGCAGAAGAGCAGAGACCAATCCTGGAAGAGCTACAGGAAAGCCCCTTCTCTCAGGCATCTCTGAATAAAGACCAAGACACTAGTTCCAAAGCCAGGTGACTGATCCCCACCCCCACCCCACCCACCTCTGAGCTCTCCTTGCAACCCTAACCGCAGGTACCTGAAGCGAGCTCTCTTACTCAGTGCACACAGGCCCCCCTCGCTGGGTCCCTCCAGCTGTGGGGGCTGGCCCCGGGGCCCCCTGCTGCCACCTCCACTTCGGGGCCGTTGGACATGAACTCTGACCTTCCGGAGGTTGTGGCGGGGAACAGTGGGGTTAGGACGCGTTGGACAGCATCTCACCATTTCGCTGCTGCTCGGAGCTCTGGTCCTCGCCGCGCCTCTGACTGACACATCGTGGGCAGGCACAGGGAGGGCGGTGCAAGGCTCTCTGCGCTCTCTCTGCTCTCTCGTTCACTCGCCTTTGTTTTTCCTCCTTCCTCCCCTTCCCCCCACGCCAGAGAATCTCCTGCGCTGTCACTGCTCCAGGGGCACTGGTGGCTGGTGGTGTAGCTTCCCCACTTGGTTCAGTCTCGGTGGCTCACAGAGCACAGGTTAGAGGGTCAGAGCTATTGCAAACAGACAAGCACTTGTCACACCTGCTCAGGCTTCTGCCCAGAGCAGAAGCCCCTGCACTCAGCCCACTCAGTCCCACAGGGTATGGCCACCTGTCTGGTCCCTCCTGCCTTGGGCTAAGCCAGTCTGCCCAGCTCACCCACTCCCTTAGCTCTGCCAGGAGGGCAGCATGTATGCAAGGCCCTGGGGCTTCATGCTCCAGCGAACCATGGCAGACAGGGTCCGGAGACTGCCAGGGCTTCTAGGCCCCAAGAGCACAGGTGGGAATCTGAGCCCTGAGCTCAAGGCAGAGTCTCCTCCCTCACCAGGACCTGACCCATTTTTGATTCAGGTTACAAAGTAGCGTCTGAGGAGCAAGAGGATCAGGCAAGCAGACAAAGCACCATGGTAACAACCTAAGCGTGAGTCTGCTCTGGCTATCTCCTCACCCCTCTTAGTCTCAGAGCCCCCATACCTGGCTGTGACCCTATCCAAGCCTCCTCAAAAACTGTGTACCTGGGTGGGCTTCAGGGAAAACCAACCTGGGGCTGGAAAGTGGCCAGGACTGAAGCCCATACCACTCTGCTTTTTCCATCTTTGCTTCAGAAAAGCACTTTGGCCAGGCCCCTCCCTGACTATCTGCAGGACACACCTCACCTGAGAAAACCCTTCCCACTACACAGATAACAGGACTAGAAGAACAAACATTCCACAGCTGTTGCCATCTCAGCTCAGGGCAATCAAGGTGCTCAAAGTCCCAGGGAGGTAGTCCGAGGTGGGCTGACATGGGCTGACTGGGAGCCCACATCTTTTCAGCTCCAGTCTCAACCACAGCCCTGGAAGGAAACAGGCTCCTGTCACCATCTTTGAATGGAAGAATGCAGGCCTCAAGAGCTCCTGCCTAAAGCAGAGAATAGACCCAAGCAAGGGCCAGCTGGCATGGCCAACACACTGTAACAAAGATGAAAGGCCCCAACTCAGATGTCACTCTATCCACACAAGGATGAACATGTGCTGCCCTAACAAACCCACCTCAGCCAGACACATAAAAATTCCATCCCTGACACCTGCTCACAAAAGCCACAGAATCCTCTGATATGCTAGTGTCCTCTGGGAGGTGGGACAACAAGGCAACTAAGGTCTGGACATAGAATGGGTTTCTCCTCCTGATAAAACAAATGGTGAGGCCTGGTCCAATCTCACCCCCTCTCCAAAGGTGCCTTTCTCCCCCAGACCCACTCTTGAGTGGGAAGGACAGCTTACTGTAGGCTGGGCCAGGCCTCACCCAGCAAACAGTGTACCTGAGCCTCCTCCTTGGAGAGATGCTAGCACCAGATCAACACAAACCTGGGAGCCCCATTCTGTCCTAAGCACCAGGCCCAGGGTTCCATGGACACCCTGTTTCTGCCTCAGGCTCATGTGAGCCTCCCAATAACATTCCCATCCACAATGGTAAAGTCACTTCAACTATTCTGCCATGGAACTGGGCACACAAGTATCCTCCCTGGCCCACAGGCTTCAAACTGGACAGGGAAACAGGCCCAAGGAGAGGATGGGCAGTTGGCATGAGACTGGTGCCTAGATCTACAGAGGTGGCTCTTTCCCTGCTCTATAAAGTACAGACTAGGAGCAGAGGAGCTAAGCACACCCAGGATTCATGGGGAGGCAAGTGTGATCTTGTGGAATGGGAGAAAAGGAGAAGACCCAGAAGTCTCAGCCTCCTGCCAAGTTTTCCCTCACTGACCTACCATATGGTATCCTAACCATGACAGCACAGAATGTGTCAGAAAGGCACAAGCATGAAAATTAAACCTGGTCAAAGTCCACAGGTTCTGACTCCTGTGGGAACCTTCCATTTAATTCTCTACAGCTCTGGAGGACCAGTCAGGCCTCCCTTCCAGGATGCTTTAGACTGGAGACCTACAAAGCCCGGAGTCTGGTCAGGCTGGATGGCACACTGAAATGGGGCAGGCCCAGGTTCCTCTTGCTACAGAGGAGGAAGCTCAAGGAGAACAGCATGAGGAGAGACATTCTTCCCTGTAGGGACTCTAAAAGCCTTAGAATCCAGACACCAAATCTGCACTGGCCCACCACCAAGGAAGGGACAGGCAGAAGGTCCTTATCTTTATCACTATTCTACTTCTTCTTCTAAAATGGTACACTGAGACCAGGGTATTAGAGTTCCTTCATCTGAAAGTTCCCAAAGGGAGCAGAATAAACTTATTTTTCCCCCAACAAACAGGCACTGTCTGTCCAGATTATTACTGCCTTCCCACCTCCCAAAGCAGAGCTACTTTTTGGCCAGCAGTGTTTCCAGCTCCCCATTTAAGAGTCCCACTTGTCCTCTACCTGGAACAACCCTTGGGCCCCAAGCCAGAGATTTCACCCTCCCTGGCCCCTGAGTGCTCAGACCCTAGATGAGGAACTGCGCAAGGAGGGAGCCCTGAGATAGGGAAGTGCTGACACCTTCCCTCCCTTTTGAGAGTCAAGCACTTTTCTGTGGAGGTGAGTTTCTGACTGTGATGAGTGGAACTTTAAAGGTATTACATGGCCTAAAGGCCAGTCACCTAGAATGTGAGAACTCAGAGGGCTTTGTGGTAGGCCACAATCTGGTCACTGTAATCCTGCCTGCCCCCTGCCCCCAAATTCACCCCAAGAGCTGCAGAAAGCAGGACAAGTCACAAGTGCTCTCTGGGTCTCAGTTTCTTCATCTCAGAAATGGGAAGAAAAGTATCTTTCACCTACTTCCCTTGAGACTCACAGCACAGCTGCAACCATGGACTAGAACAACTGCTCAGAAGCCCTCACTCCTACCCTTGTTCCCGGGCTTCTTGATAGTTGACTATAGCTCCAGAAAGGCAAATCTGCACTCTAGGAGGTCAAACGTTGATAAAGGGCAAGCAGGGGCTTAGAGCAGTTCAGAAAGGGAAGCCCAAATGGGATAGGAAGCATGATTAATGCAACCATGTGGGAGTAGGTGGAGGACATACTATCCTGAGGGCATATACCTGAGCAGCACTGCCATATCTCTATCACCTCACTGCCTCCCCA